TGAATTGAAATTACCACACTGACATGTATTGGAATTACAACACTGACATGTATTGAAATTACCACACTGGCATGTAATAGAATTACCACACTGACTGTATTGGAATGATAACACTGACATGTAATGGAATGATCACACTGACATCTAATGGAATTACTAAACTGACATGTAATGGAATAACAACACTTACATGTAATGGAATTACTAAACTGACATGTAATGGAATAACAACACTGACATGTAATGGAATTACTAAAATGATATGTAATGGAATTACCACACTGACATGTAATGGAATTACTAAACTAATATGTAATGGAATTACCACACTGACATGTAATGAAATTACTAAACTGACATGTAATGGAATAACAACACTGACATGTAATGGAATTACTAAACTGACATGTAATGGAATTACCACACTGACATGTAATGGAATTACCACACTGCCATGTAATAAAATGATCACTTTGACATATAATGGTATGACCACACTGACATGTAATGGTATGACCACACTGACATGTAATGGTATGACCACACTAACATGTAATAGAATTACCACACTAACATGTAATAGAATTACCACACTGACATGTAATGGAATGATCACACTGACTTGTAATGGAATTACCACACTGCCATGTAATAAAATGATCACTTTGACATATAATGGTATGACCACACTGACATGTAATGGTATGACCAAACTGACATGTTATGGTATGACCACACTAACATGTAATAGAATTACCACACTGACATGTACTAGAATTACCACACTGACATGTAATGGAATTACCACACTGCCATGTAATAAAATGATCACTTTGACATATAATGGTATGACCACACTGACATGTAATGGTATGACCAAACTGACATGTTATGGTATGACCACACTAACATGTAATAGAATTACCACACTGACATGTACTAGAATTACCACACTGACATGTAATGGAATGACCACACTGACATGTTATGGAATTACTAAACTGACATGTAATGGAATTACCACACTGACATGTAATGGAATTACCACACTGACATGTAATGGAATTACCACACTGACATGTAATGGAATTACCACACTGACATGTAATGGAATTACCACACTGACATGTAATGGAATTACCACACTGACATGTAATGGAATTACCACACTGACATGTAATGGAATTACCACACTGACATGTAATGGAATTACCACACTGACATGTAATGGAATTACCACACTGACATGTAATGGAATTACCACACTGACATGTAATGGAATTACCACACTGACATGTAATGGAATTACCACACTGACATGTAATGGAATTACCACACTGACATGTAATGGAATTACCACACTGACATGTAATGGAATTACCACACTGACATGTAATGGAATTACCACACTGACATGTAATGGAATTACCACACTGACATGTAATGGAATTACCACACTGACATGTAATGGAATTACCACACTGACATGTAATGGAATTACCACACTGACATGTAATGGAATTACCACACTGCCATGTAATAAAATGATCACTTTGACATATAATGGTATGACCACACTGACATGTAATGGTATGACCACACTGACATGTAATGGTATGACCACACTAACATGTAATAGAATTACCACACTGACATGTAATGGAATGACCACACTGACATGTAATGGAATTACTAAACTGACATGTAATGGAATTACCACACTGACATGTAATGGAATTACCACACTGCCATGTAATAAAATGATCACTTTGACATATAATGGTATGACCACACTGACATGTAATGGTATGACCACACTGACATGTAATGGTATGACCACACTAACATGTAATAGAATTACCACACTGACATGTAATAGAATTACCACACTGACATGTAATGGAATGACCACACTGACATGTAATGGAATTACTAAACTGACATGTAATGGAATTACCACACTGACATGTAATGGAATTACCACACTGCCATGTAATAAAATGATCACTTTGACATATAATGGTATGACCACACTGACATGTAATGGTATGACCACACTGACATGTAATGGTATGACCACACTAACATGTAATAGAATTACCACACTGACATGTAATGGAATGATCACACTGACATGTAATGGAATTACCACACTGCCATGTAATAAAATGATCACTTTGACATATAATGGTATGACCACACTGACATGTAATGGTATGACCAAACTGACATGTTATGGTATGACCACACTAACATGTAATAGAATTACCACACTGACATGTACTAGAATTACCACACTGACATGTAATGGAATTACCACACTGCCATGTAATAAAATGATCACTTTGACATATAATGGTATGACCACACTGACATGTAATGGTATGACCAAACTGACATGTAATGGTATGACCACACTAACATGTAATAGAATTACCACACTGACATGTACTAGAATTACCACACTGACATGTAATGGAATTACCACACTGCCATGTAATAAAATGATCACTTTGACATATAATGGTATGACCACACTGACATGTAATGGTATGACCAAACTGACATGTTATGGTATGACCACACTAACATGTAATAGAATTACCACACTGACATGTAATAGAATTACCACACTGACATGTAATGGAATGACCACACTGACATGTAATGGAATTACTAAACTGACATGTAATGGAATTACCACACTGACATGTAATGGAATTACCACACTGCCATGTAATAAAATGATCACTTTGACATATAATGGTATGACCACACTGACATGTAATGGTATGACCACACTGACATGTAATGGTATGACCACACTAACATGTAATAGAATTACCACACTAACATGTAATAGAATTACCACACTGACATGTAATGGAATGATCACACTGACTTGTAATGGAATTACCACACTGCCATGTAATAAAATGATCACTTTGACATATAATGGTATGACCACACTGACATGTAATGGTATGACCAAACTGACATGTTATGGTATGACCACACTAACATGTAATAGAATTACCACACTGACATGTACTAGAATTACCACACTGACATGTAATGGAATTACCACACTGCCATGTAATAAAATGATCACTTTGACATATAATGGTATGACCACACTGACATGTAATGGTATGACCAAACTGACATGTTATGGTATGACCACACTAACATGTAATAGAATTACCACACTGACATGTACTAGAATTACCACACTGACATGTAATGGAATTACCACACTGCCATGTAATAAAATGATCACTTTGACATATAATGGTATGACCACACTGACATGTAATGGTATGACCACACTGACATGTAATGGTATGACCACACTAACATGTAATAGAATTACCACACTGACATGTAATGGAATGACCACACTGACATGTAATGGAATTACTAAACTGACATGTAATGGAATTACCACACTGACATGTAATGGAATTACCACACTGCCATGTAATAAAATGATCACTTTGACATATAATGGTATGACCACACTGACATGTAATGGTATGACCACACTGACATGTAATGGTATGACCACACTAACATGTAATAGAATTACCACACTGACATGTAATGGAATGATCACACTGACATGTAATGGAATTACCACACTGCCATGTAATAAAATGATCACTTTGACATATAATGGTATGACCACACTGACATGTAATGGTATGACCACACTGACATGTAATGGTATGACCACACTAACATGTAATAGAATTACCACACTAACATGTAATAGAATTACCACACTGACATGTAATGGAATGATCACACTGACTTGTAATGGAATTACCACACTGCCATGTAATAAAATGATCACTTTGACATATAATGGTATGACCACACTGACATGTAATGGTATGACCAAACTGACATGTTATGGTATGACCACACTAACATGTAATAGAATTACCACACTGACATGTACTAGAATTACCACACTGACATGTAATGGAATTACCACACTGCCATGTAATAAAATAATCACTTTGACATATAATGGTATGACCACACTGACATGTAATGGTATGACCACACTGACATGAAATGGTATGACCACACTAACATGTAATAGAATTACCACACTAACATGTAATGGAATGATCACACTGACATGTAATGGAATAACAACACTGACATGTAATAGAACTATCACACTGACAGGAAATGTTATTTTCACGATATCATAAAATTATCACACTGACATGAAATGTAATTTTCACGATATCATATAATTATCACAGTGACAGTGAATGTTATTTTCACGATATTATATAATAATCACACTGACAGGAAATGTTATTTTCACGATATCATATAATTATCACACTGACAGAAAATGTTATTTTTACGATATCATATAATTTTTTACACTGACATGTAATGTTATTTTCACGATATTATATAATTATCACACTGACAGGAAATGTTATTTTCACGATATCATGTAATTATCACACTGACAGGAAATGTTATTTTCACGATATCATATAATTATCACACTGACAGGAAATGTTATTTTCACGATATCATATAATCATCACACTGACAGGAAATGTTATTTTTACTATATCATATAATTATCACACTGACATGTAATGTTTTTTTCACGATATTATATAATTATCACACTGACAGGAAATGTTATTTTTACGATATCATATAATTATCACACTGACATGTAATGCTATTTTCACGATATTATATAATTATCACACTGACAAGAAATGTTATTTTCACGATATCATATAATCATCACACTGACAGGAAATGTACTTTTTACGATATAATATAATTATCACACTGACAGGAAATGTTATTTTCACGATATCATATAATTATCACAGTGACATGTAATGCAGTTATCAGACCTCCAGGAAATGCTTTTACTAATGTGTTATTTTGTTCTGAAGTTCTATAGTCAACGCATCATATTAATCAGGATTGATTTATCATTCGTGTTTCTACGGATGTCCACAGATAGTGTAACACTGCCAATCCTGGAAAAGAGCCTCAAATGTCCCTGTTGATTTGATGGCCCGCCGAAAGTCGACCAATGGCAGGCTCTCATAGTAGTAATCGTAATCATTATAGTAGTCCCATCCGTAGTCAAGGTAAGGGACCATGTTATTTGGCACTGTGGAACCGTCAGAAAAAATCCACGATCGCGTGACGCTACTCATTGATCCTCCAATCCAGAAATGTTTGGATAGAGCTGTGTAAATGAATATATACATATATAGAGAGCTGTGTAAAGGAATATATACATATATATAGCTGTGTAGAGGAATATATACATACATATAGAGCTGTGTAGAGGAATATATACATACATATAGAGCTGTGTAGAGGAATATATACATATATATAGAGCTGTGTAGAGAAATATATACATAAGTAGAGTTGTGTAAATGAGTATATTTAAACAATAACTGGTTGTCTGGATGTAATTATTGTTGATATAATTACAAGTGGCCTCTGGCATATCTACCAAAAAACCCTAGCGGGGTTTATGGGATTTGCCAGAGGCCACTTGTAATTATATCAAAAATAATTACATCCAGACAACCAGGTATTTTTTTATATTTACATGTTTTTCTTTTTTAAGACATATCCATACAAAAACCATTTGCCCTGCCTCAAAATACATTTCAGGCGGCCATTTTGTTTGTTTACATATTCCTACACCTGAAACAGGCAGTTGTAATTATAGTCGAGCAGTTGTACTTATAGCCTATATAATTACACTTGCCCTCTAACACTGTTGTAATGGGATGGCGCGGGGGCAAATGTAAATATACATAAGTAGAGTTGTGTAAATGAGTATATACGTAAATAAACATGTGTAAACAATATATACATATATACAGCTGTGTAAAGGAATATTTACATATATAGAGCTGTGTAAAGGAATATATACATATATAGAGTTGTGTAAAGGAATATATACATATATAGAGTTGTGTAGAGGAATATATACATATATAGAGTTGTGCAAATGAATATATACATAAAAAGTTGTGTAAAGGAATATATACATAAACAAAGTGATATGGCTGACAAGAAAAAACTTCAGAAATCTCTCCTCCGCGGCTTTGTGTTATTTTCTTTGTACGACTACTGTTTTATACACTGTTTTGCACTTTGTTTTGTAATATTCTTATCTGAATTAGCTATTTTTTATATTTTTCAAGAACAATCTCAATAGTCGTGTTCCTATTATTAGTACAGTATAGAGGTTATCATACAACCATTTCTATATTTTACCCCGTATCAACCCGAGACCTCCATATCAACCCGAGACCTCCATATCAACCTCCATATCAACCCGAGACCTCCATATAAACCCAAGACCTCCATATCAACCCGAGACCTCCGTATCAACCCGAGACCTCCATATCAACCTCCATATCAACCCGAGACCTCCATATCAACCCGAGACCTCCGTATCAACCCGAGACCTCCATATCAACCCGAGACCTCCGTATCAACCCGAGACCTCCATATCAACCCGAGACCTCCATATCAACCAGAGACCTCCATATCAGCCAAACAAGCCTCTCGGCACCTGGGTTGATATTTGTCGAGGGCTGATGTGGCGTAGGCTATGGAATAGTCATTGAATTACCTTGTTCATCATAACATACTTCACAAGAAAAGTATCTTTTAGTAGAAGATGAAACGGTATTAGCTCTAACACAAATTAAGTGTCACCTAGCTCTGTTATTTTCCTGATTCTGTTGCACCCAGTAGTAATGCGAATATAGTGTGGGCCCGCCAGATATTGGGATTGGATCGCAAATGTGCTATCATTCTTAAACTATAAACTTTATGTATTTAACAACAATTATGAAACAAGTTATTTCAACTTATATTAATCACTATTGTTGGCCTGGATGTTAGCTCGTTGGGGGTCTTAGTGTGGGAGGAAACCGGAATACCCGGAGAAAACCCAGGTGATCGGGCAAGAGACCCCAAACTTTTCACGTCCGATCGGGGAATCGAACCCTGGCCGCATTGGTGCTTTCCACTGCACCACCCGACCACCCACTTTTCTTGTTTTATTGTACTGATTTTTCCTTATTCAAAGGACTTATTACTGCCTTCGTAAATTAACATAATGAAAGTAAATCATATAATATTTGTTTGTTTTACAAAAGGTCTGAAATAGATTTTTCCGACTTATTTCATTCACTCTTGTTGGTCCGAAAGGAGGCGCATAGGAGGCCTTAATGTTAGAGGAAACATGAGTACCCGGGGAAAACCTATGTGTTCCGGCAAGTGAACCCAATACCTGTGTATCGTCTTGAAGAAACGAAAGTTACTCTATACAATATGTTACCCGACACTTCAAAAATCGAATAGTCTATGTCTTTCTTTGATGCCAAAAAGTTTGCCCAAACAAAAGGCCACACTACAGCGATGACCATATTTACAGTTGAAAATAATCTGAACTTTCTATGTATGTCGATGTTTCTATTTGATGACTGTTTGCGTGTTTTGATACTCTGTAATTATTCTATAAATAATGTCTTGAAAATTTAGAACACGTTGGACATCCTTTACTGTCCTATGTATCTAAAGAATATTGTCTTAATCCCCTCCTGCGGTATACTGAAATATATCAAACCAACGTTTTCATTGTCTTTGTTGTCAGACCCGACGTCAGTTTCATTATTTAAAACTACATGTGTTACTCTGATTGGATGATGGGGGCGCACAACGTCCAATCAAATCAAATCAGATAATAGTTTTCGCCGAATTATGAATGGGAGGTGTAAGTATTACAGAGGACTAAGTTCGATAAAGTATCCCAGCAAAGAACTGCACACAAATTTCGATAACTTCATTATGTCTTGAAAGTCATGTAGGGAACATTGTAGTATAATGTATAGTGTATAATACTATGTTTAACTATGCACAATTACTGATTGCAGATGAAATATACACCATTAGACAGCATGTTTATAATTTAAACAATACGAATTTGCATTCATTTTTTTTTAAATCTTACGAAATGTAGGAGATTTGTAGAGAACATTTCAATATCAAATGTATTGACTTTAAAACAAATTGTGACTCTGCTGTCACCATCCCCTTTAATTTTGTACCAAATGTTATGTTATGTATTTCGTATTTCGAACAACTTTTTAACAAAGACAGAAAAAAATGAGATTTACCATAACAAAAGTCTGATAAATGAAGCTATCATAGGTAGTAGGAATATTTCGCTCGATATATGATAGACTCTCACTGAATTATGATATCCAAAATTCCATCACCCATCCAGATCAAAGACTGAAGGTCAGAAAATAGCTGACAGGTATTTACATAGTGGTGTTAGCATAACCGATACTTGCTTTACATGAGGAAGCATACTTCGGATCACATGGGGTGATAACATGTAATCTCTAATCGACTCACCACTGTATACTTGAAGAATGACATAGCTGACTTTTGACATACATGTACACTGTAAGCTTCAACTAGAAAACTGTGTTAGTTTTGGTCTGAGACAAAATCAAACATTGTAGACGGCTTGACTGGTGCAATGATGTTATGTCAATGAAATAGTATACTCTTTGACCCCGCAATAACAATTCCATTGCTTGTTAAAGATAACGATGAGTGCGAGGATTGCTTTCCACGTGATCAATTTTCGAATTTTGGTCGTTATAGGTAATTAGACAAATGTAAACGTTTTCAAAGCGTAACTCGATTGTTAACCAGATAGGATGGATATATGACAGTTATGATGATAAACAATGGTTAACTGACCTCTGACAGATGATAGCGTTGTATGTCCAGAACTGTTGACTGAGGCGCTTACTGTGGACACGGTCAGACTGAAGCCCGCTCTGGTGACACTGAGGTCGGTGGTGAACCTAAGTAATACCTCATCCGTACTACTTACCAATATGTGGTTCACGTTCACGCCGTCGTATTTACCGAATCCTGGACTTGTCGTGTTAGGACCTAAAGATACAGAAACAAACGCTGTCTTTATAGGCATTAAGCATGTGTTGTATTGGTATATTTAGAGATTATTTAACGGTTCCACGTCGAATACCCGACATAATCATTGTATCTATAATTAAATTTCGTGAGAATATTGCTATTTTTTCCAAAGGCGTTAGCCTTAATGCCTATTACAATATAAGCTCAATTTGCTATTTATCATTTTGATAACTTAAGTTCGTGTTCATAATAACCACTATCTGAATGATCTTACTTTTTAATTTTATCATAACAAATGGCTTGCTATTGAGTTGAAATTTAGGAGGAACATGTCATGTTTTAGAGGAACCAATTAAACCTAACCTTTACACACTTCTGAGATATTTGTCCACGGTACAGAAACGGTAACTTCAAAAATCTGTTGTATTGTTGTGGATGTCACGAAACACGTGGTATATGTTATACTATCTATCTTGTATTGATACCATTGACAACATTAAAGAAACGTTCCACAACAGCTATACCATTACTTCCGGTTTTTCCATGGATGTCCAGGTAGTATGAAGTGCATAAAGAGCAGATTGTAAAGGTAGCATAATAAACATGAATTTACCTACCGTCGTAAATGACTAAGTAATCACAATTGCTTTCCAAATTGTTGACAAACAGGTCGAGCCGTAGTTTAAGGCCAATGTTCTCAGCCTTTAGTGGACACGTGCAATCAACGAAACTATAACGAATACAAGTGTATTACACGAGAGTTTTAAACAATACAATTGATGTATATTACTCAATTAATCCGCTGTTTACTATACCGGTAATTCAAAAGAAATCTTTACATAAAGTGTGCATACTTCTACGACTATTGATACCATTGATTATCCCGACTCCCACTTCATGCTGTTAAGCAAATATTGTGATGAAAATTAATTATTACAAAGTAATCCATGATTGAGTATTGACGTATTTTCCAGATGTTAACTTACCATCCGTATTCTTGCGGATAGTTCGGCGAGGTTATGATGACTGACGAGTTCTCGTGGATCATACCATCCATAGGACAACCGTTACAACGAACTATAAAGACGGCAAAACATGATTTATGTATATTTATATATACAAACAACTTTGTTATTATTATTATTGTTTTGTAGAATAAAAGGTACTGCGATATAATATCATAACCATGACTGATATTCTGGTTTCCTTTGTTGAGCATGTTTGTATGATGTTTTCTCTCAAAGTCCTTCCTTTTCCTTTTCAGATACATCGACGACGTTTTCAGTACATGTTTAATTAGAACCTACAGACTTTGTTGATACATGTAATAGATACCTTTTCCTGAACTAGAACACACTACCGACTGGCCTAAATCAGCCGCTAACCCAAACCTTAAGTTAAAATAACAGCGAAAAGACGGGTTACTACTAAACTGAATCAACAGAGTATTGATTTCCCAATCGTCAACTTTCCCTTTCCTGATAGTAACATCGCTGATGTCTCATCTTTGGTGTTAACATGTTGCAATTCGTTCGATATGTGCGGACTTGTTCCAACTAACCCGATTTCCGACATAAAGATAATCATAATGGAAGTTGTATGGTCTATACAGGAGAAAAACAAGTCTGATATAAAATATATCAAATATCATATATGTTTTAGGTCAGTTCGTATTACCGCCTATTTCATAATGCGCGTATTACCAGTTTCTGTTCTGACTGCGAAAATAAAACTTCGCCGATACAGTAAATGTTTTAATAAAAAAACATCAAGTTAGGAAATAGGTGTTTAATATCCGAATATTCAAATATTCAGAACAATTAAAAAAGGTTCTATCACAAACCGAAGTTTGGCATAGCTATCAAGGTACCATGTCCACAGGTTTGGCTTACACGTTAGACGACTCCGTCGTTACAGGTATCAACAATTCTAACAACAAAGTGGTATGGATGTCTAGCTGTCAAACAGGAGGATACCGTTAATAAATTTCCTTTAACGCTTGACGTGTTCTATTATGCATTTTACTCGTATCTAGTTTCTAGTTTCAACGTGCTGGTGCAATCTACAATTCGACCATACTTACCAATTAACTCTTTAGCTGAGCAAGCTATATACTTTTTTTTCTATGAGCACGACAAAGCTAGCTTTATCTCACCGAAGCCAGATACGTTCCATCTATCGGTATTAACCTTAAAACATGTTATTTTTCACTCTTTCTTATCGGAAATATTTAGTCTTCACATACGTGGAAACATCATGTATATAGTTTGCTGACCTGTTGTATTTTGTAAGAGTGGTAAAATTCCATTGATCTCTGATTGATTCTTGAAGTCTGGTATGATTCCTCCTAGAGCTGCACACGCACTGTCTGCGCTTGCGTAGTCACCAAATACGTCCAGGACTTGGTAAGACGATATGATGAAGACTGGCGTAGTGGTAGGTACAGCCGTGGTAGTTGGAGTTGTAAAAGGAGCAGTTGTAGTGGTAGAATTTACAGCTATTTGAGTCATGTTTGGAAATATTTTGGTGGTAGTTGGAGGTGCAGTGGGGGTATTTGGAGATGTCGTGGTGGTAGTTGGAGAAGTGGTTGTGGTTGGAGCTGTTGCGGTGGAAGTTGAAGGTGAAGTGGTTGTTATAGGGATTGTTGAAGTGATAGTTGGAGGTGCAGTGGTGGAAGTTAGAGATGTGGTGGTAATAATTGGAGTGGCTGTTGTGGTTGTAGTTTGATGTACAGTGGTGGTAGTTGGAGGTGCTGTGGTGGTAGTTGGAGGTGCAGTGGTGGTAGTTGGAGGTGCAGTGGTGGTAGTTGGTGGTGCTGCGGTGGTAGTTGGAGGTGCAGTGGTGGTAGCTTGATGTACAGTGGTGGTAGTTGGAGGTGCTGTGGTGGTAGTTGGAGGTGCTGTGGTGGTAGTTGGGGGTGCCGTGGTGGTAGTTGGAGGTGCAGTGGTGGTAGTTGGAGGTGCTGTGGTGGTAGTTTGATGTTCAGTGGTGGTAGTTGGAGGTGCTGTGGTGGTAGTTGGAGGTGCAGTGGTGGTAGTTGGAGGTGCAGTGGTGGTAGTTGGTGGTGCTGCGGTGGTAGTTGGAGGTGCAGTGGTGGTAGCTTGATGTACAGTGGTGGTAGTTGGAGGTGCTGTGGTGGTAGTTGGAGGTGCTGTGGTGGTAGTTGGGGGTGCCGTGGTGGTAGTTGGAGGTGCAGTGGTGGTAGTTGGAGGTGCTGTGGTGGTAGTTTGATGTTCAGTGGTGGTAGTTGGAGGTGAAGTGGTGGTAGTTGGAGGTGCAGTGGTGGTAGTTGGAGGTGCAGTGGTGGTAGTTGGAGGTGCTGTGGTGGTAGTTTGATGTACAGTGGAGGTAGTTGGAGGTGCAGTGGTGGTAGTTGGGGGTGCCGTGGTGGTAGTTGGGGGTGCAGTGGTGGTAGTTGGGGGTGCTGTGGTGGTAGTTGGAGGTGCAGTGGTGGGAGTTGGAGGTGCTGTGGTGGTAGTTGGAGGTGCAGTGGTGGTAGTTAGAGGTGCAGTGGTGGTAGTTGGAGGTGCAGTGGTGGTAGTTGGTGGTGCTGTGGTGGTAGTTGGAGGTGCTGTGGTGGTAGTTGGAGGTACAGTGGTGATAGTTGGAGATGTCGTGGTGGTAGCTGGGAATGTAGACGTAGAAGTTGTAGGTGTAGTGGCTGTTGTTGGCACAATATCAGATTCTGAAATTAAACAAAAATCAACCACATATTCTTTTAATGATGTAATGTCTCATTATAACCTCAACTTTACTTTATATGCATTATATCTTATTTACATGTATATCACTGGTACGCAAATGTATTAACACAAAAGTTTCAGTGCCTGACCCATGTTGGTGACATCTTAACTGCCGTACATTTTTAAGCCGTGGCTCCCGGATGCACAAACCTTAGCGTCAATAAGAATTAAGAACATACATGGGGCAAAGAAAGACGGATTCCGCACCCGTGTGTTCTAGAGAAGTGTATAGTTCCTACCTGGCTGTATACAGATATTGGATCCACTTGTTAGTCCAACACACATCATCCACTCCGGACACACGTAACCGGAACACTGACCGCCAACCTGTAAATTACGGAACACACCATACACAATTTACCGTTAAGTTTGAATGAGAAACCGGTCAAAATGTCTGATATCCTTTATGAGAAATTGGTCAAAATGTAGGATATCCTTTATTAGAAACCGGTCAAAATGTCTGATATCCTTTAGGAGAAACCGGTCAAAATGTCTGATATCCTTTAGGAGAAACCGGTCAAAATGTCTGATATCCTTTATGAGAAAATGGTCAAAATGTAGGATATGCTTTATTAGAAACTGGTCAAAATTTATGACATCCTTTATGAGAAATTGGTCAAAATGTCGGATATCTTTATGAGAAACCGGTCAAAAGGTCTGATATCCTTTATGAGAAATTGGTCAAAATGTATTATATCCTTTATGAGAAACTGGTCAAAATGTATGATATCCTTTATGAGAAATTGCTCAAAATTTAGGATATTCTTTATGAGAAATTGGTCAAAATGTCGGATATCTTTATGAGAAACCGGTCAAAAAGTCTGATATCCTTTATGAGAAATTGGTCAAAATGTATTATATCCTTTATGAGAAACTGGTCAAAATGTATGATATCCTTTATGAGAAACCGGTCAAAATGTGTGATATCCTTTATGAGAAACCGGTCAAAATGTCTGATGTCCTTTATGAGAAACCGGTCAAAATGTCTGATGTCCTTTATGAGAAACCGGTCAAAATGTCTGATGTCCTTTATGAGAAACCGGTCAAAATGTCTGATGTCCTTTATGAGAAACCGGTCAAAATGTCTGATATCCCTTATGAGAAACCGGTCAAAATGTCTGATATCCCTTATGAGAAACCGGTCAAAATGTCTGATATCCCTTATGAGAAACCGGTCAAAATGTCTGAAATCCTTTATGAGAAACCGGTCAAAATGTCTGAAATCCTTTATGAGAAACCGGTCAAAATGTCTGATATCCTTAATGGGAAACCGGCCAAAATGTCTGATATCCTTTATGGGAAACAGGTCAAAATGTCTGATATCTTATGAGAACACCCACTGGTCAACATTTGAGATATCCTTATGAGAACTCTGATTTTACATCATTTATAACATTCTTTATGAGAAACTGGTCAAACTTAGGATATCCTTTATGAGAAACTGGTCAAACTTAGGATATCCTTTATGAGAAACTGGTCAAAATGTCTGATATCCTTTATGAGAAACTGGTCAAAATGTATGATATCCTTTATTAGAAACCGGTCAAAATGTAGGATATCCTTTATTAGAAACTGGTCAAAATTTATGACATCCTTTATGAGAAATTGGTCAAAATGTAGGATATCCTTTATTAGAAATTGGTCAAAATGTAGGATATTCTTTATGAGAAACTGGTCAAAATGTATGATATCCTTTATGAGAAACCGGTCAAAATGTCTGATGTCCTTTATGAGAAACCGGTCAAAATGTCTGATGTCCTTTATGAGAAACCGGTCAAAATGTCTGAAATCCTTTATGAGAAACCGGTCAAAATGTCTGATGTCCTTTATGAGAAACCGGTCAAAATGTCTGATATCCCTTATGAGAAACCGGTCAAAATGTCTGATATCCCTTATGAGAAACCGGTCAAAATGTCTGAAATCCTTTATGAGAAACCGGTCAAAATGTCTGATATTCTTTATGAGAAACCGGTCAAAATGTCTGATATTCTTTATGAGAAACCGGTCAAAATGTCTGATATCCCTTATGAGAAACCGGTCAAAATGTCTGAAATCCTTTATGAGAAACCGGTCAAAATGTCTGAAATCCTTTATGAGAAACCGGTCAAAATGTCTGATGTCCTTTATGAGAAACCGGTCAAAATGTCTGATGTCCTTTATGAGAAACCGGTCAAAATGTCTGAAATCCTTTATGAGAAACCGGTCAAAATGTCTGACATCCTTTATGAGAAACCGGTCAAAATGTCTGATGTCCTTTATGAGAAACCGGTCAAAATGTCTGAAATCCTTTATGAGAAACCGGTCAAAATGTCTGCTATCCTTTATGAGAAACCGGTCAAAATGTATGACATCCTTTATGAGAAATTGGTCAAAATGTATGATATCCTTTATGAGAAATTGCTCAAAATTTAGGATATTCTTTATGAGAAATTGGTCAAAATGTATGACATCCTTTATGAGAAATTGGTCAAAATGTAGGATATCCTTTATGAGAAACCGGTCAAAATGTAGGATATTCTTTATGAGAAACTGGTCAAAATGTAGGATATTCTTTATGAGAAACAGGTTAAAATGTATGACATCCTTTATGAGAAATTGGTCAAAATGTATGATATCCTTTATTAGAAACCGGTCAAAATGTCGGATATCTTTATGAGAAACCGGTCAAAAGGTCTGATATCCTTTATGAGAAATTGGTCAAAATGTATTATATCCTTTATGAGAAACTGGTCAAAATGTATGATATCCTTTATTAGAAACCGGTCAAAATGTCGGATATCTTTATAAGAAACCGGTCAAAATGTCTGATATCCTTTAGGAGAAACCGGCCAAAATGTCTGATATCTTATGAGAACACCCACTGGTCAACATTTGAGATATCCTTATGAGAACACTGATTTTACATCATTTATAACATTCTTTATGAGGAACTGGTCAAACTTAGGATATCCTTTATGAGAAACTGGTCAAAATGTCTGATATCCTTTATGAGAAATTGGTCAAAATGTATTATATCCTTTATGAGAAACTGGTCAAAATGTAGGATAGTCTTATGAGAACACCGATTTGTCAACATGTATGATATCATTTAAGAAAACAACGACTTGTCTAATTTTACGATATCCTTTATGAGAACACCGACCGCTCAATTATTATCAATTCTCAATTCTCGTGATTATTTTTACAGAGGAGACCAGCCGATTTTTCAAATAATATTATATGAAACTTACTTATATAACGCTAGTGATGAAAACCATGTTATGTGTTGGAACTGTATACAAATGACTTGACAGTAAACAATTAAAATACTGAAAGTTAATAAATGTATTATTTTTTGAATATCGTGCTTACATTATTTGATAAGGTAGAATATTCTAACAGAACAACGATATTCTTCTTCCGTTGCGCTTCTAAACAAATAATAGTAAGTGTTCATTAACATTTGTGTTTCATGTGTGCGCTACAATTTGTTGGTAGACCGGTATGGCAATTAACAGTAACCTTTAAATCCGTATATTTACATTTACAATGTACCAACAAGCGTTATTGAAATGGTTTTAAAATACTCAGTATGATTTGTATTTCATTTGATTGATTCTTGCATGTGTAGTAAATATACCACACAAACGTGGATGTATGTGTGTACATCGTTATCATTTCCATGAGATAAATAACTGTATTATTATGGTGTAATAAATATTAAATTTGAAATCCTAAACACAATACAGGACATATAATGACATCGAGAAATATTTCACAGCAAGTTTTTTATTTTAACTTTTTTTTTAATTCTTATTCATCTAACGGCAGAGTTACGATCATTTACATATTAGACCAAATATTTAATACGTATTTTGTTTCTCGCGACGAAATCTTCATCAAGGCGAAATAAAAAAAAACGGAAACTATCGAAACGTATATACAGTATATCTAATACTTGTTTTACTGTAATGTATCCATACATGGCTGGCAATGGCTAATTTTATACAAATCATGAAGAATATGTAGGTGCACATGGATATCTCGAGTCTGATTCATTCATATGAAATACGTACATACATGTTGAGGTACTTAGACGTGTATTTACTTGCCATACTATGATATACTCGGAAACACAAGGATAAGGAGAGCTAGACTGATACGAATAAAATCATTATGACATATCAAATTAGACACCGTAGAATTTATAGATAGACTGATTAGCTAGACTGGTAATGTTGATCCATAGATTCTATTGCTAGACTGATACGTATAACACACGCAGATATGCGTAAAATCTATTTCTAGATAATGCTTGTGAAATACAAAGACATCCATACTGTCTGTTTCTAAACATAAACTAAATGGCTATGAACACGATTCATAAATATGAAATAGGTAAATACACAAGGATATCTAGAGCTAAATTCACATTTACGAAAAACATTTTGTTCCAAACATCAGAGGTGCAATGAACTTTCTACTGTGGAAAAGAATACCTGTCTTTATTCTAAAATGTCAAAACTAGAATATGTTCCCGTCATGAAACAGTAATACTTTACACAGCATAAACGCCAACACAATAAAACATCAACACCAATTCCGACACACAGAGTGACGCGGTGTTGAGATTGATATTGTTTACATTGAAAAGAATGCTTTATAGAAAAGTATTCAATCACTTCTGGGTGAAGTTATAGGACAAATCGCACCACTCGTGCTAAGCCTGGATAAACTAAACATTGGTCTGAACATGGAATTTTTGCATTACAGAGGAGCGCAAAATAATATAAGACATGATTATTGTAGCTAGTTCCATGTTTTTTTTAAAACAAACTTGCCATAGATGGCTTACATTTCCAGGTGTCCAAGTGGTTGGACTAGACAGGACACCGTCATCATTGACACTCTCCGTGCTGTAGCCATGTGCTCCGAGCTCACAGATACCAGTTGATGATGTATAAGTAAAGGCCAAACAAGATGTCCGAAAAGCGCATTGTCTGCGACACTGATGGAAAGTCTGCTGGTGAACAGTGGCGAACACAGAGATAGGTGTCAGTCTCCCACCTGTGTCATAGTCGCTCAGGTGTAAACACTCACTTGATACTGCACGAGCTACCAAACAAATAATGATGATGAGGCTGCATGAGATGGTCCAAACAGATGCCATGACTATCACACGTTTGAAGAGAGATCTTTTTTTAAATGTTTAGTAATTCGGACTACACTATGACTGAGGTGTTAAACAAACTCCGTTAAGCGATCAATTTGATTTTTTGTATTGGGACTTAGTAGTTAACAGTAGAATGGGGTCTTGGTTTGACCATATGCTGAGTTTCACACGTCTTCGCATGAGAAATTTTGGTGTTATGTATATTGACGTTTGTTATTATGTTTGTTACCTGTAACAAAATAAGCAGTATAGGCCGAAGTGTGTAGTTATGGGCGTTCTTCCGATTCATAAATATGTGACAACAGCATGACAACAGCAAAGAATAACAATATCGACGTGATGATCAAGGACAATTACTTAGGAATATAAATTAATATCTGAGAGAAGCAGTATTTGCAAAACAAAACAAAACAAAATCGGAAAAAAAAATAGAACTTAAAATTTACTCACACACTGGCACTAAAGGTGGACAATTTACTTCAGTTTTTGAGATGCATTGAAGAACGTCTCAACTTGTTCTCAACTGAACCAAGTACACTTGCACGAGTAGTATAATGTACGGCAGTGATATTGATTATTAAAATGATAAGGTACGCATACCTAAAAGGTGAACTCGCGACTTTTTTGCTATCCTTGGATGATAAAATTCACAATAGCAAGCTGCTAGGATATATATAACAAATAGGTGAAAAAAACCCGATGAAATGGTATTATATGTCTGTTTTAATGTAGATACCCCTACCAATACCTCCGATCAGTACGTACCTTATAACAGATGTGATAACTTTGACATGTCAATCATTTCTAAATAAATATGTACGCGTAACTACTGAAAGGGCCGCTAAAATTACCACCTTTTAAAACAAGTGATTCTTTTGAGTTTACCAAACCAAGAATAAATATAGTCCGAACTAGTAGCGTTATATTGAGGTTAATCTGACGACTCTCAGTACATTACTTTAAAACATAATATAGTGTCTGCTAAAGTTTCCGGTAATGCTTAATTAGTGTTCCCTGCTTATCCGTCTGTATAAAGTAAGTATGTATACTCTGTAACCCTGCGACATTCTCCGTCCTTACTATTGTCATCGGTCGGTGTTGTTAAATATGTTCATAAATATTGGATTGCGAAATATATATTTACCTGCACATATTGTCTAAAAAAAAGGTTATAATGCCAAATATGTTACCTGTTTCCAATGATTAATTATTGACAGTAAGCAAAATCTTTGTAATTATAATATCAATCCATTATGTCCATATATCTACCACCAATGGAGAGGACTTATATAGGCTATAAGCCTGTTATCCAATCCTTTTGACAGTGAAACATTCTTCTTTGTCAATTAATATGTTGAAATTAAATATATTTACCTGAAATTAAACGTCATGCAAATTACGAAGTTTGTAAGCATTTCAAACGATTGTCTATTGTAATGCTGTCAAAGAGATCAATAATATTATTTAAGTTATTGTTTACATAGAACTCATTTACAGTGTCATCACAATTCAATGCTTGGAATTAAATAGCAGGTTAAAATGTGAAACATTCCGGACCAAAGAGATACCAAAGCCAATTAAAAGACAATCATCAACATTCCACCACGACAAAACACAGGTTCCTTCACCACATATAACCACCCTTCTAAATGTACTCATGCATCAATGATCCAAATCACTATGATTTGTCTTTAGTCGAGATGGACATTGAAATCCTGTATATAGAAACCGGGTCGTGATGGCAACATTAACCCGTGCAGATTGAAACATTTACTGTATACTTTAAGCGGTATAGTATGCGTCATTGATCATCAATTGGCAGTCTTAAATTGGACATTCAGAATTTACATAAAATGTTCCGTTCCTCTGGGAAGAGCTTCAGTCAATATGGTTCAAATTTCCATACGTTTTTGAAAATTGAATAGGTTTTACCACGAGAAGAACTATCTGTGTCATGATACCATTTCTGGATAAATTGACCGATTAATCTCTTCTTGATGATGTATTTCAAGGTATCTCTATTGACTGTACATGTTTTTTAGTTAGTCCATTTATTGTTAAAACCAGTATTATTGAGAATAGACTTAATAAAATTCAACCATTTAAATTATAAACGACCATTCTGTCAAAGAAGTAATATAGACGGTAAAATCCCATATAACACTGGATCCTAATTCCGCACTTGCCCCGGTGTCCCATATAATAAGCAGCATATACCTTATATATACCCTATATATATCCTATGGGGCAAAGAAGTAAT